ATCTCTAGCCTCACTACTGAGTATCCCATGTTGAAGCCAAGATCTGAGGAGAGGCCCATGTGGCTGCTGCTGGAACTCCTCCAGACCCAGCATTTCAGAAGCAGGACTGTGCTTCCAAACACTGACTTTGTGTGAATGTTAGCAAAGACACCTGTCCTCAATGAACCCAGTCTTAGAGTATCACAGAGTGACACACCTGAGTCTACTAGCAGAATAGAGGTCCCCATTCCCCACAGAAAAGGTGCTGTGGATAAGCAGCATCAGTGAGTGACCCTCTGCTGTGACACACTGACCACCAGACCGTGGGCTGCCAGTGATACCAAAGAGGCCACATCACGAGCTAGAGAACATGGGGCCTGAGAAGGCTCTTGTTTTTGTCTCGTAAGACAACAATGACCAGGATTGACCCTTTGGTCTCCAGAGTCCCTGACCTTCTTAGAATGCACAGTAGTGATCTAGAGTCATGAAATTTGAATATTAGAAGGATTAGAAGGTTAGGTACATAATGGGTTTTATATATACACACTTACTTTCACATATATTCTAGAAAAGAAATCAAGTCAGTGATATCAATACATGCAGTGAGTTCAAAAGAATGAGAGAAGAGAGAATAGGAGTGTTTAAACTTCCTTAAGGAAGATTTCACAGAGGGGACTTTAGCAAATCCTTGAGGATTTTCCTCGTTCGAAGTTTCTTCCTCAAGTCAAATAAGTGAGAATATTTTCAGCTGTTACCTGAACATTGTTGGAAAGTGCAAAAATTGTCTTGAATTATTTTAGTGACATTTTTCTTCTAGTTTGGCAGAGACTGATATAAAGCCCAGAGACAAGCCACCTGTCTGAATACCTTTAGTATGTATAATAGTAGTGGCACACATGATAATATCACTCTAAACATTGGAGGCCTCTCTTCCCAGTTTGCCATGCAGAACGTCTAATCCTACCCATGAGAGGCCAAAGCCAGTGAAAGCAGAAAAGAAGTATTCACCAGGCAGGGATCACAGAAGGAACTACGAGGACCAGGCCAGGGAGTTGGGGACAAATAGTGTTTAGCCCAGTTTTAGACCTGGCACAGCTTTCCCATGCAAAACCATTCCTTTTCAGACTTCCACCCCTTTAGTTCCCTGGCCTCATTACTGCCTTGACCAGGTGTTCTATAAACATGGTCCTTTAAAGAAAATTCTTAAAATATGTCCATGAATCCCCTTGCGTAAATGACTAAAGTTTCATACTTTCACGGTGACGACCTTGGTTATATTCCTGGGAAGTCCACATCTAGTAAAACTCATCACTCTACTCCAAGGTACCAAATAGACATGGCAGCTAAGTAAAAGTGGTTTGTTTGCTATTCAAGTGTGGCTTCCAGCCAAGCTGCTGACTCTTAGCCACTCCGGTATAGACATTCTGGAGCTGCCACACTCACGCCTGATGGGGCTCACATGCTGAAGAAACACAGTTTGCATCACCCTTCACCAAAGTCTCTGGAGGCTGGAAAACAAACAGCAGTTGCATGACATTTCCATTGAGAAGTTGATGAAATTTAAGGTTTTCTTCTGCTCAAAATATAAATACAAAATTTTGCAAGTAATTTCAGGAGGTTAGGGGATATCTGAAACAAATGTATGGAACCTGGGAAATCCACAGATGCCAAGCTAAGCCCCCAGGTGCTAACAGGAAAGGACCAAGGAAGAAATGGACCCTAGGGATTTTAAATACCTCAGATGGGCCATGTGTAGAAATGGCAAATTGTTTTTCATTGTCTCTCTCTCCCTTTTCCCTTTCTCTTCCCTTCCCTTTTTATTCCCTGCGTTAAGAATAAATCCTATATTTTAATCTTGTTTTCTGCCTGGATATAAGTAGTCGCTGTTGGGGCTTAAGTGTGACACATTGAGACAAAATACAGTGAGTTCTGCTATAATGTGACCCATCTGTTTTTAAAAATCACTGCACTATACAAAATCATAGAATCAAAAACCACATGCTTACAGGAAAATGAGATTAGGAGCACAGCATTCAAAAACTTCATCAGTGACACTAAAAAAGAAGATAGCAACCTGGCCGGGCGCGGTGGCTCAAGCCTGTAATCCCAGCACTTTGGGAGGCCGAGACGGGCGGATCACGAGACCATCCTGGCTAACACGGTGAAACCCCGTCTCTACTAAAAACACAAAAAACTAGCCGGGCGAGGTGGCGGGCGCCTGTAGTCCCAGCTACTCGGGAGGCTGAGGCCGGAGAATGGCGTGAACCCAGGAGGCGGAGCTTGCAGTGAGCTGAGATCCGGCCATTGCACTCCAACCTGGGCGGCAGAGCGAGACTTCGCCTCAAAAAAAAAAAAAAAAAAAAAGAAGATAGCAACCTAATTTTAAAAGATAGCTGTTTTAGGCATGTTAAATGGTTAAGGTATACATAAATAATAGAATAAACACATTGTTTTACCTAGAAAAAGACTTGAAGCTTGTTCATGGAGGTAGGTGTTGGAAGGGTTACAGTTTGTGAGTTATTGAGACACGGCGAAGGAGAGTTCTCTGGGATGGAAAATTGTGACACCAGATGTAGATGGGTGTGGCTCATTATACATGCAGTGAACTGAGGATGCTGGTGGCTGTCAGAGGTGTGAGGACATCTTACGTATTCCTACATGGCTCAGTTCAGCTGGATGCAGTTTTCTGCATTCACCTAGCATTTCTTGCCGATGAAATTAAACATAGGGAAACACAAAGTTCTTGTTATACTCAAATTGTTCCTTGATATATTAACCCCATTGGAATAAATCATTATTTTCAACATAAGCCTTATAGCAGCACTGATTGTATCTAGATTATAAAAATAATTATAATTTAAAGAGTAAGCAGCCATTAAAACCCCAATGAAATGATACTGTAAGGGTAGCAATAACGTTAATATTTCTGAGCAATGAATAATTTACTTTGCCTAGTGACTCAAATACTTTTGGGCCTCCTTGCTCCTACCCTAAGGTTCATCTCCACATAGTGATAAATTCAAATGAAATGCAAATTTGGATCCATGACTTTAAACCATGCGGTGAATTCTGAGTGATGTTTTCTCAGGGCTAGGAAGGAGTTGTTACAATACACACCAGACTTCCTGGAACATTCTCATTATACATTTTTATCCCTGATGTCCCATACCATGTGGCAGCTATACTAATCTTACTTCCCTCTCTTGTCTACACTTCTGATACCCTCTACCTGCACCTCCCAAAAGCCCAACAAAATTTCAACCCTTGCTGGATCTTTTCTTAGCATCCTTTCATCTCTTTCCCTCTTTTCCTGCCTTTTTCCCTGAAATTAAAAATTCCATATCTATGAATGTTACACTCCCACTGCTGCCGTGACAAATTACCGCAAACACTTCAAGGAGATGCACATCTATTCAGGTAAGAACAAAACAGCATAAATTTATTATCTTACATTTCTGAAGGTCAGAAGTAATAACTCAAAATGAGCTTTATGGGACTAAATTCAAGGTATTTTTGGCTGGGCTGCATTCTTTCTGAAGGCTCCAGGGAAGAATTTATTTTTTACTTTTCCCAGACTCTAGAAGCCATCTGCATTCCTTGGCTTCTGGCCCCGCATCAGTCCAGCCTCTACTTCTGAAACAACAGTTCCTTCTTTTACTCTGACTCTCCTGCCTTCCTCTGATAAAGGCTCCTGTGATTGCATTGGGCCCACAGGATAATCCAGGATAATCTTACCATGTAAAAAATCTTTAATTTATTCACATCTGCAAAGTCCCCTTTGTCATGTGAGGTAACATTTTCACAGGTTCCAGGGATTACGGCATGGATGTCTTTCGGGCATTTGTAAGTCTATTGCACCAGAGATGATATCCAAAAATGCTTAACAACTGATGTGTCACTTAAGGCAGAAATTCTGACTTTCAGAAAGGCCCCTGGTCATAGTGCTGGAGCAAGACTCTGAGACCCCTGATGTGCTGGTGGATGAATTATGGAGAGGGCTAGGATGTCTCAAGGAGGCACTGGGGTGTCTAACACAGTGGTGAGGCACTCCAGGGCCAGGAGCAATGGTTCTCTCTAGGCAGTACGAAAGATATTTGACTTTTTTTTTTTTAAACCACCAGTACAGCCACACACGTGTATTTTGGCTGAACACTGACCTGTCCATTCTCTTCCTTCTTTCATCAGTTTAGCCTCCCTAGGCTTCTTTAGGTTCTCCCCTTCACCCTCATCCACGATCAGCATGCAAACCTCCTGGGATGTTATCATGTGCTGTACTTAGCCCTTTTACTTGAAATGTCTCATTTAAGCTTTATCACAACCCTATGATTAGATTCTGTACTTAGCTTCCTTTTGCAATTACACAATAGGATCATATGTGCTATTAATTGTTAGGATCTGGATTTGAACTCAGGCTTTAGAAATTGACTTCCTAACCACTGTGGTTAGTGTCTTCAAGGAGATGCACATCTGTTTAGAACCGAAAATATTCTTGCTAATTTGGAAAATACCTCTTTATTTAAAATTTCCTAAAAGGTAGCCTCTCCTCCTACTTTTATGATGGAATACTGGATGATTTTAGTCAAAAGACAAAGTTATTACCATAAGAAAAAGTCCTGCATGAAAGCACATGTTGCCATTTTACTCATTATCGAAGTGCTCTTATGACTGTCAGAGAGAACAGGTAAGATGCCAGGGGAGGCCGAGAAAAAGAGATCAAAGTGTTTTTGTTTACTTTTTTGAAGTCTTGTAGTACCTACTGTTTATTATACATACTTCTTGATTCATGCTGAAATTGGAATTCACCCATTCTCTCTTTTTCCTGTCAAAGATGCAGATGGGGCACATTTCGTTGACTCCATCAATCCCTGCCCCCACACATTAGCACATGCACACGTATACCTAGCCAGTGGAAAAGAAAAAAGAGTTACTCACATTCATCCATTTTACAAAGATTTCCAGGCTGCAATGGGAGGGCTTTACCTCTCCCTGAAGGATGAATAAATAGGTAGCTTAACTGACAACCTGTTCTCAGTCAAGCTGAAGTGAAAACGAGACCAACGTCTAGCTCTACTGTTGGTACTTATGAGATCCAGTCCTGGCAACATGGAGAGGATAGTCATCTGTCTGATGGTCATCTTCTTGGGGACACTGGTCCACAAATCAAGCTCCCAAGGTCAAGATCGCCACATGATTAGAATGCGTCAACTTATAGATATTGTTGATCAGCTGAAAAATTATGTGAATGACTTGGTAAGACTATACTTGTCACAACAAAATCTAAATCATACTTTTCAATTAATATAAAAGGAGGGTTTGGCTTACAAAAATAACTCAGAACAAATTTTCTTTTGCTCTAGGACCCAGAATTTCTGCCAGCTCCAGAAGATGTAGAGGTAAGACCAGTTGAATTTATTTCTGAAAATACATTTGACATAACTTTTAAAATCTAATAAGAAAGGCATTAGCATGATTATATAGGAGTATACTGAATTTTAATGAACTTAGTGGTCTAATAATTGATGAAATATTTATTTATATTTTGGTTAAATTCATTGATTTACCAAAAACCAACTAAAAAATGCTATATTATATTCCTCATAAACTATGTTTATCTTCAAGAATCTCTAAGAGTACTCCTAAGTAGTATTGCTAAGATAGAATAACAAAACTAGAAATGAAATCTATACTCTGATCAGTTTCTGAACAATGCACAGCTAGTTACTCTTTAAGAGCCCTTGGGCATGAAAGCTTTTGAGCCCTCTTTGTTATCCTACTTAAGAAACATAGATACATACAATAGGAAGCAGAATTAACCTTTTAATAACAAACTTAAAAATGAAAGAAAGGAAGAATTAGATTACAGGGACAGCATGGAGAAATGGTGGTATGGAAATCAAAGCTGTCCTTTAGAATATAATTCACATATACCTTGGCTTCAGTGAGTCTTGTCTTTGGCCTTCCATGAGGTCTTTTGAAAGAACCATTTTCAACAATTCATCCCATTTCTTAAGCCATTTAAATCCATTAGAGTTCCAGGAAGGAGAGGCTTGGCATGTAGTTCAAGAATGCTGTCCGCTGATCTTTTTCTCTAGCAACTTCTATGATCTGATCTTCTGGTCTGGTACCCTGAGAGTATAAATGCAATTGGGGAAATGTTTTCATTGTCACAGACCTTTAATTGCATAAATTAGAATAACTAAAAGTGCTACCAGTAATTAGGACACTACAAAGGGGGAGACTGAAGAAGATACATTGCAAAGAAAACAATTATCGTAAATGACTATGTGTAAAAGTTTAGAAAGTGAATGAGTCACAACTATTGCTTTTCTCTAAAATTCACTCTCTAGCTCTGAACCCAACCACTCTCATTTACTAGGTCCTTTTCTAATAAGCAGCATCTAAAATGAAAGTAGCACATTCAGCTTATTGGAAAGACTTTTCCAATAACTGAAAATACTTCTTAATCAATGTGCCTAATTATCAAAACATGCATTTCTAGCATCTCATGCACCTTATTTAACTGTTATGGTTAGAGTCCTTTCCAGAGTTTCCTGGCTGTAGTCTGTAACATGCAAAATAAGAAATAGGAAAGAGATTCCACCTTCTAACCTGAGTTCATCCAATGGGTACTTCCTTTAGATGTGTTTTTAATGAAAGATTTTTTTTTTATCTTACATCATAATGAGAGGATTTTGTCTTAGTGACACTATATCTATCTGATAATCTGATCAAGCAATGCTGGCTATGATACAAGTGAGTAATAGTGTAACTTGGATCTTTAAGCTATACTAGTAGGCAAACTCAGGAAGAAAGAAATCGTTCAAGGACACATCAGCATTATATCAAGCTAACTTCAAAGCAGGGTCTGTAAGAGATTTTAACACGGTGAAACCCCATCTCTACTAAAAATACAAAAAATTAGCCAGGCGTGGTGGTGGGCGCCTGTAGTCCCAGCTACTGGGGAGGCTGAGGCAGGAGAATGGCGTGAACGTGGGAGGCGGAGCTTGCAGTGAGCCGAGATCGCGCCACTGCACTCCAGCCTGGGCGACAGAGCGAGACTCGGTCTCAAAAAATAAAAAAATTAAAATAAAAAAGAATAATGAAAATAAAACCATCTAATGTTGTATGCATATAATAATTATCTAACATCTCTAATTGGCCTGGCCAGGCATCTTTCTTTTTCTCTTTTTCTTTCTGTCTAATCATATCACCAGTGGCTCTCAACTGGTGGTGATTTCTGTACCCCAGAAAACATTTGGTATTGGCTGGAAAAATTTCTGGTTGTCACACGTGGAGGTAGAAATGGGGGTGCTACTGGCATCTAGAAGGCAGGTACTAAACATTCTAGAATGCACAAAACAGCCCTGACAACAAAGAATTATCTAGCCCCAAATGTCAGTGGTATCACCGTTGAGAAACCCTGATATAAACCTAGTTTGTGTGTAGGACAAAGGTAATCATTTTTTTTTTTTTTTAGACGGAGTCTCGCTCCGTTGCCAGGCTGGAGTGCAGTGGCACTATCTCAGCTCACTGCAACGTCCGCCTCCCAGGTTGAAGCGATTCTCCTACCTCAGCCTCCTGAGTAGCTGGGACTGTAGTCGCACGCCACCATGCCCAGCTAATTTTTGTATTTTTTAATAGAGACAGGGTTTCACCATGTTGGCCAGGATGGTCTCAATTTCTTGACCTCGTGATCCACCTGCCTTGGCCTCCCAAAGTGCTGGGATGACAGGCGTGAGCCACCGTGCCTGGCCAGGACAAAGGTAGCCTTGCCCAATTAGCAAGACTCCTTAGGGGGAATGGCTAGGGCTTTCTTTGCAGAAGAAAAGAAATGTAAAAATAGGCCTCAGCTGGGTGATGTGTCTCCTGCCTATAATCCCAATGCCTGTAATCCCTTTGGGAAGCCAAAGTTGGAGGATTGCTTGAGGTCAAGAGTTTGAGAATAACCTGGGCAAAATAGTGAGACATCCTGTTTCTATAAAAGAAACAAAAAAAAGCCCTAAGGAGGCAAAACATTTCAAAAATTCAATTGCAAAACAACAAAGACAAGTGTTACTCCTCGCAAAAGGAGCACTTGACTTGTTCTTCAGCTGAAGAGGAATGGTTTGTGAATTCTTGCTTTTGACTTCACTACCACTCCTTCTAGTCTGCAAAACTAATGTAGGAGCAGAAAACTCCTCATGTTCTCACATGTTAAAGCATGAGGGAAACAAAGCCTTGCCTTTGGAGTCTGTTGTCACCAAGGCATAGCAAAGGAAAGTAATGTTTATGCTTCCAGACGGTGCTAAATATGGACTTGGGCATCCTGTAGACTCCTGAGTGACAGGGCACCTGAGGCTGCCTAAATCAAGGTTAATCTTTTCACTCTCCTCAATACATCCTTAAGGCAGTTTAGTGGAGACAGCTCTCCACTTCTTTTCCTCTTTTGAGGCGGCCTTTGATGTGCATATAAAGCCAATTCCAGCAGTTATTTATCCTGGACCACATATTGCCAGACACAGCTCTGCTGCTTGCAGAGCAAAAGAAAACAAAACACCATTGTCTGTTAACACAGGTAAACAAGGAAGGGTGGGAGAGGAAGCACAGCCCCATCAATACGGGCGTCAGTGTCCAGGTGCCATTCAAAGGCTTTCAGAAAAGATTTTCAGTTGTTTTTACAACTGAAATTGTAGTTTTACAATTTCAGTGCTTTGAGTACTGGTACTGACCATTCCTGGCAATATTATCTCAAGGGAGTTCATCTGGCTGGCAGGGCCCCTCTACTTCTTTGGAACCTAATTTTCTTTCAGCATACACATGTAAATGTTAACTCAGCAAAATGAGCCTCTGTGAGAAATGCTGGTTTTTCAGATCATCACGGATGAAGCAGTCAGTATTTTCAGTTTCAGCTGGAAAATTTACCTCTTTAAATATGAATATTATTTTTTCCAGTAAGTTAAGCCGGTTGTGGTCAAAAAGAAGAGAAAAGAAAAAACTTCAACAAACATGAACGTGTGGTTTTCAAGGAAAAAAAAGTGCTATATTGAACATTTATAAATAGTTTCTATTAAATAAGCATTTTGGCAAACATATGGAAAGGACACCACCTTGCCCTTGTGAGAGGCAATCTGCCTTGATATAAGGAAACCAGATAAGCTGCTTCTCAGCTTGTGGCTATATATGCAAAGCAAACCTGACAGGTTTGTGTCTTAGAGATGCATGTTATTAATCAACATTCATATTGGGTAAGCATATGGGTTGGAAAATGCAAAGCAGCCCAGATGCTGTGTTCAGCTGATTGTCCATAAGAAGATTCAGGTAATATTGTTACTTATAGGCCTGCCTTTGTAGGGACTGGAAGGGATTGAGGTTTCTGGTTATAAGGTAGTAGCTTCCATATGCATTAGTGAAATGAAAATATAGCAACTTCAGGGGGAAAATAGCATCACATACACACGTTTGCTGAAAGAAAAAAGTAAGTTGGATACAAGTAACCTGGATATACGCTTTTGGATCAGCATTAACATTTTTCAACAAGTCAGTATATATTTGGTTCTTCCAGTAAATTCCATTTCCTTTCCAGTTTGATTGCTAAGCTTTTGGCTTGTTAGTCATTAGTTATTTTTCCAAGTCAAGAGATAAGTGTTTGATGCTTATTTTATACACTCCTCCATTCTCTGAGACCCTATTCTTACCTTCTAAGAAATTATCTTCCTTCTCATTGGTTGGGCAAGCCTCAAACTGTCCCTCAACTGCTTAATTCAGGCAGAATCCTACCCTAACTGAGCTGGGAGTATGAAAAGGGTTTTAGAAAAGTCATGTGTGATCTATGCAAGCATATTGAGTCTTAGATGTGAAATATGCTATCTGAGGTAGGTACCCATTTCTTTTCCCCAAAGGAGGGGCTTTAATTCATTTTCTTCAACTTCACAAATGTATGTTGACATTAACTGGCAAGACACTATGCCTGGCGCTGTACAGAATAAAATGCTGCTCAAGATATGTCAGGATAGATACATTATAGAAGCCGCAAACAAATGAAAAATATTCTTCATCAGACTATAACATAATTCACCCAAAGCTGCCACTAGTCACAGTGTAAGTTTTAGAGCCTCATAATTCAGCAATTGTGTTCCTAAACCGAACTAACTCTCCCTTACAAAACACAAAGGTCTTGTCCACCACCTAGATGTCAAAATGGTCCTCTGTATAGCATCAGGAATAAAGCATTGTGAAGAAGTGAGGCTCCTTTCTCTCTTATCTGTGAGGCAGGGGATTATCCCTTTTTCCCATCCCAAAGATTAAGTAGGAGGTGAAATCATACTTCACTCATCTGTTGAAATGATGTAATGCACGACATTGCAGAAGAGACAGAAACAGAGGATTGGGAAAGCTATCTTTTACTTTCTGAATAATGTTTGTTAACATATATACAAACTGTTTATCTTTCAGACAAACTGTGAGTGGTCAGCTTTTTCCTGTTTTCAGAAGGCCCAACTAAAGTCAGCAAATACAGGAAACAATGAAAGGATAATCAATTTATCAATTAAAAAGCTGAAGAGGAAATCACCTTCCACAGGTGCAGAGAGAAGACAGAAACACAGACTAGTAAGTAAGACTGTCATTTGTCATCTATCTTATTTGTACTTATAAACTATGTATCTTGCATTGTATAAACACACATGCACACCTGTAGCCAGAGCTGCTGGTGTCTTCCTTACCTATGCCTTATTATACATGGTGCATTTTTTTTTTTTTTTGAGACAGAGTCTCGCTCTGTCGCCCAGGCTGGAGTGCAGTGGTGTGATCTCTGCTCACCGCAAGCTCCACCTCCTGGTTTCACGCCATTCTCCTCCCACCTCAACCTCCCGAGTAGCTGGGACTACAGGTGCCCGCCACAACGCCCAGCTAATTTTGCTTTTGTATTTTTAGTAGAGACGGGGTTTCACCGTGTTAGCCAGGATGGTCTCGATCTCCTGACCTCGTGATCTGCCCGCCTCGGCCTCCCAAAGTGCTGGGATTACAGGCATGAGGCACCGCGCCCGGCCTATACGTGGTGCATTTTAAGAAGTAGGGTCACTCTTTTAAGTCCATAGACTTCAAAGTATTCTGAAACCCAATTATAATTTCCTAGTAGTCCTTGGTAGCTGGAATATGTTAATATAACTTCTCAAGGCGAGGAAGTCATTAGGCAGAGAATCCAATTGTGATTTTGGAGTTAAGGAATATTTCCTCTCATATGGTCACAGTATTCTTATTAACAGGAGCTAGATCCTAGCTTTCTAACAAGAACAGAGCCTACAAGAGACTAGGGCAAATCTTAAACTTTGCCTCCTCTCTTAAATCATATTACTATCCTGTACATCAGCAGAGTCAGTATTGAATTGAAATAGGCAGGCCTCATTACTTGGCTGGGGAATTTTAACAGTCCCTAGCTTTTTGGAGCTTTGAGATCCTCTTGTTTATGCCAATTCATGAGCAATGCAGATACTCAAGAACATGAGTAATTCAAAGATTAATCAAAGCCAGTGGGAAAACACATAAAATAAATTACTCTCAAATTTTTTTTTTTTTGAGACGGAGTCCCAGTCTTTCGCCCAGGCTGGAATGCAGTGGCAAGGTCTTGGCTCACTGCAGCTTCTGCCTCCCAGTTCAAGCGATTCTCCTGCCTCAGCCTCCCGAGTAGCTGGGACCACAGGCGCACACCACCACGCCTGGCTAATTTTTGTATTTTTAGTAGAAACATTTTTTTTATTGTGTATTTTTTTATTTTGTATTTAGAAATATTTATTTCTAAATTTCTAAAAATTTCTAAACTAAAGTTTCACCATGTTGGTCAGGCTGGTCTCAAACTCCTGACCTCAAGTAATCTGCCCACCTCAGCCTCCCAAAGTGCTGGGATTACAGGTGTGAGCCATCGTGCCCGGCCTCAAATTTTTTAAATTAGTTCTTTCTCCTCCAAAAAATTCCACATGTGATTCAAATGAAATCTTAATTACATTATCAAAGTGATTCTGATTTCCTTTGATTGCTTGGCCTGGTGACCATGTGAAAAATGTCCCTCTAAATCTTTCCTCTAAAAGAAAGGAGCTGAACATATTTTTGAAACTCATGAAGTGGTAGCTTTGGAGCTAAACTTAGAACTCTCCAGTTAAGCATGCTCATCTTATAGATGAGGAAAGTGAGATCTACCAAGGAGTTAAGTCACTAGCCCCAAGTTCCATACATAGTGTCAGAATGATAAGAATTAGACTGTATATCTACTACCTTTTAGTGAAATGCTCTCACTACAATATCACACTGGCATTGAGATGCTAACTACCACACAATGGTTTGGTGTTTGGTATCTAAATAGGAATAAAGACAAACAGCATAAACTAAGAAAGTTTTTTTAAAAATGCAAGTGAGCAATACATATATGAAAAACTGTTCAATCTCCCTAGTAATCACACACACGTGAGTTAAAACAAGGAAATCCTGTTTTTTTTCCAATTAAACATTTTAAACAATACCCTATAATAATAATGCTCCAAGTGAAGAGAGGTAAAACTCTACATCAAATCCTTAAATTTTTTTTATCCCTTTTATTTAATAATTCTACTTCTAGGAATATATCAAATAAGCAAAGATATATATGAAAAATTATTTACAGAGATGTTCTTTGGAGTAATGTAGACAAAAGTAAAAAGTTAGATACGGCTGGGTGTGGTGGGTTACGCCTGTATTCCCAGCACTTTGGGAGGCTGAGGCAGGCGGATCACCTGAGATCAGGAGTTGAGGCCAGCCTGGCCAACATGGTGAAACCCTGTCTCTACTATTAGCCAGGCATGGTCGTGCGTGCCTGTAATCCCAGCTACTTGGGAGGCTGAGGCAGGATAATTGCTTGAACCCAGGAGGTGGAGGTTGTAGTGAGTGGAGACCACGCCACCGCACTCCAGCCTGGGCAACAGAGCGAGACTGTCCAAAAAAAAAAAAAAAAATTTAGATGCAACCTATGGGTCCAAAAATAGTAATAGTTCCATCCTATTTTGGAATACAGAATAACCACTACATGTCATATTTCTGAAGACTATTTAACACTTAGGAAATGCCTGTGATATGTTAAGTGTAAAAAAAAAAAGCAAACCACCAACTGGTATAAATAATGTAAATGCATAATAATAATTAAAAATACCCAAAACACAGAGAGAATACATATTGAAACATTGCAGTGGGATTCCTATCTCTGGGAATGGGATTACAAGGACTTTTTCCATTGTTACTTTCCAGTTTTATGTAATTCTCAAATTTTTTCAGTGAACATAATTTATGTTTTTAATAAAAAAAATTTTTAAGGAACATTTTATTAAGAAAAAAAATTTAAAGAAGACTGTTACTTTTTCATTGATTTCTAGACATGCCCTTCATGTGATTCTTATGAGAAAAAACCACCCAAAGAATTCCTAGAAAGATTCAAATCACTTCTCCAAAAGGTATCTACCTTAAGTTTCATTTGATTTTCAGCTTTATCTTTACCTATCCAGATTTGCCTCTTAGTTACTCATGGTATACTATTTCCACAGATGATTCATCAGCATCTGTCCTCTAGAACACATGGAAGTGAAGATTCCTGAGGATCTAACTTGCAGCTGGACACTATGTTACATACTCTAATATAGTAGTGAAACTCATTTCTTTGTATTCCAAGTGGAGGAGTACAATACATTAGGGATGGGAAAAAAAACTCATAAGTGTGCAAAAGTCAGGATTATTTCCCCATAATCACTATGCAATAGTCTGATTTCCTATGTTATTGATTTCTATGACTTCTGAAGTTTTTACTTTATTTCACTGCTCAACTTTGACATTTCTTGGTTGAAGGAGAAGGTTAAAATTTTTAACCAAAAATATAGTTTTGACATTTATTGATTTTATATTAACCTTGAGCTTGATTACCACCAGAATGAGGTCTATTATGATCATAACTTAAAACATATATACCTTCATTACAGCTGAAAATATAGAAGCATAGAAGCAAAACATACAAAAGCAAAATGAAAAGCTGACATTTTTATTCTTTTAAGGAAATGAAAACTGAATGTTTAAAAACTTATATCTGAATATTTTTTTAAATCTCAGAATGTCTAACATATAAATATGTACTTTATTTATGCACTGGGGGATACCAGATGGCTATAAAAGTCTTACTTCTTTATTGGGGTTTATAAAAATATTTAAATACTATAGATATGAATGTATTTATGGAATAGACTCTTAGTCAGTGGCAATAGAGTATTAAGAAGTGGATTTAATATTACCTTCCTCCAGTCCCCAGTCCCCTTATAAGCTAACATTTTAAGCTTGTGGAAATGGCAATTTAAACCTATAGAGGGACATATACCAGGTTGTCTTCTGGAACAAACATCGTTTTAAAAGTATTGTAGCTCTCTTCTCACACAGTTATAATGATCATATTATGAGCGAGCTAATAACGCCAAATATTTGTCTCCTTCTTTCTTCCTTCTTTTCTTCCTTCTTTTTAAAATGAATCTTCTGCTTTGACAAAATTTCAAAACATGTTTAACATTTTGGACACTTATAGTTACTATACTTTGGATAAGACAAATTCAATAACCTATATGATTTAAAAATCAGGAGACAAACCAAGAGGCCAGGACTCCTCTCCAAGTTGAAAACAGACTTTCGCATAAGTATTCCAATCTTTCAAACGTGGGTGGTAAAAGTAAGCAACCTACTCTAGCTGCCATTTCATATCAGCTCCAGCACAGCCTGTTTAAACATGAAGTTAAAAACTCTAGAAAAATAAAATGTTCGCTAGAATGGTATAAGCTATTTGAGAATCTCTTATTGTTAAAATAGTTGTGAGTGTGCAAGAGGATGTGGGAAGACAAATGCTTTATGATCTGAGAAGAAAAATTATGTGCTTAAAACAAATACAGACTTAACCTACAGTTCTAAAAGATATATTAAGAATTATTTAATCAAATCTCAATGAAATGTTTTATCATCAGCAAGTAGACTCAGAAAAAAGAAAAAAAACATTTTATCAGAAACAAGGTACTCCATTTTAACATTTTAGACTATGTATTACAAAGGAATTATGTGCCTGATGATGATAATATATATCTAAAATGTGCCTCAGTTTCAAATACGCCAGCCTGGGTTGTTGTGATAAAAGGTGGAAACAGACACAAAGATAGTGAGAAAGATGGAATCTGTATTTCTTGTTTCTGAATTTATAGCTATTAACTCCTTTGATATTGTATTTTATATTTAAAATAATGTATTTCTTTTGGCATGTTTATTGTTAAAATTTTCTGTTCCAATTATTTCGATCAGGGTCTCTATCTTAAAAGTAAAAATAATTTAGTGAGGGTTTGGATAACAGCCTTCATTAAACAGAGTTTAAACACCCAGATAAACTCTGGTGTTTAACCAGAGTTAAACCCACCAGCACTCCAGGAAAGGCAATGCATTGGAATAAACAAGATGAAGCAGTGAGACTTGAACAGCTCCATCTTCACTGTTCTATGTTCAAGACTGCCAGTTTTTAAAAGGAATATAAAGATAACCCATAAATATAACTGTTCACCTATGGACAGTAATACAGGAGACCTGAAATTTTGTTGACTATGAAATTGTGGTCACTGTTTAAACCGTTTAGGTTTCCATTTCCTTATCTGTAGAATAAGAGTGCTGGACTCCATCTCTAACATCTATTTTTTTCTTTTTTTTAAAAGCTTTAAATGTCTATGAATCTCTAAAGTTCTGGGTATTCTTACAGGAACATCTGATCACACTTCTGAGTAAAATTTTCTACTGAGTCTGATGTTCAATTGCTCAATATTATTTCAATAACATTTGTAGCAACACTCACTGCAGGAGCAAGGGACATGTTCCAAGATAAAAAAGGAAGGAAGGAAGGGAGAGAAGGAAACATTACTATAGGTCATGAGAGTTCAGGGAAAATTAACCATGATCTTTATTATTTTAGTTCAAAGTGTCTTCTTGGGACACTTATATAAAATTGTAGCATTATTATTCTATATTATTGCTCTGTTGTATTTACATATGCATCTGAGAATTTAGCTAATATGAACTATGTAGTTTATAACTTAATAATTATTTATTATATATTTGATTTTAAATGTTCATGTTTATGGCTTCTTATTTAAGACCTGATCATATTAAATACTACCCGCTCAGTACAACCGTCTTTTGTGATTCCCTGGAAACCCTCAATTCAATAGTCCTGACTGAAAAGAAAAGATTATCCTTAGTCTCTGGGAGCATATAGTTTTTACATGTACATGGTAAAGATGATCTTCTCTTCTCACCTGTTCTCACCGAAATGGATCCTGTCTCTGCCTCAAGGATATCACCTCCTTTGCAGCCCTCCCTAATGTATGGTACATTCAGGAGGAGTTAGAGATACTTCCCAATGCCCACTGCCACCACTGCACCTACACTCGTGCACAAAATTCTCTCCTGCATTCAAGTTTATCCTATCTAGCTTTTTCTGTCCTCTTCTTACTAATGATTGTCATTTTTTGGCCACTCCTCCATGTTCATTGGGGACTGAGGATGTTCTTTCTTTCAAATCCAACATCTGCCATCATCTGGGTGACTTCAGTGCCCATGGGGAAAATTCCACCAGCACTGCAGCATCTCAGAACCTTAGCCTCCTCAGTTCTGAGCACCTGCCTCTTTTAACTCCATCCCGGGGTCTACTGCCATGACTATGTCCCACACTTTATCACCTGGGACCCCTTTCTCTCAGAAATCTATGTAAAGATTTATAGATGTAAATATAAGACCATCAGCTGCTAGTTTTTTAGCTCTCAAACTGCCCTACTTCTACTGTGTCTGTCCTGAGACTCTGAAACTAGGCCTTAACTCCTAGCCATTCTCTCAATTTATTAGTTTTCCTCCCTCCCTCACAGAACCAATGTCCCTGATCGGTCCCTTGAACTACAGGCCAAGCAGCACACACTATCCCCCGCCCTCCTCACTCTTCTTGAGTAGCTGCCTGCAAACATTCTAGCTGGCTATCTTATCCTTGGTGCCCTAATCCAGCGTCAGACATTGGCTCCAGCCCCTCACTTTTGGAGATCCTTTCAAACTTCACTTCCTGGCATTCTGGAGTCAGTTTCCCACTTCACATTCAGCTCTGAATATTCACCTGCTTTCAACACCTGCCACAGCTTTGGATAAGAGATCCCTCCATCTACTCCAGTCCCCAGTCAGCCTGGCATAGCCTCACCTGTGTGCAGGAAAGGAATTTTCATAATCACAGTCAAGCTCATTGAAAGAATAGTCTGTACAAGTGTCTTGACACTCTCTCACCTCCTATCTACTAATCAGACCACTATAATCTGATTTGTACCCATCTCACACCTTGTCACTGTATCATTGGAATTGCCCTGTCTCTGGTCAGCAATGACCTCCTAATAACCAATTCACAATGTATCTAAGCCCTTAGCTTACTTGATCTTATCATGGTTTTTGCTACTCTCAACCACCCCCTCACCCCCTCCCTTTTCCTTATGACTTTGAAGGCCCCTTTTTGTCTGACTGAGGTCTTACTCTCTGACCATACATACTCAGTGTCAGTTGTTGATTTGCCTTCCTGTGTCCTCTCCTTAGAAGTTGATGTTCCTGAGGATTCTGTTTCTGGTCATCTTTTCACTTTAAGCCTTCCTCCTCGATAGTCAAATGTGCTCCTGTTCTTTTAAATACCCCCTCTATGCTGTTGACCCCTAAATCTATAGCTAAAGGCTAGACCTCTCTACTAATTCCCAGGGTCATATATCCAACTGCTCCCTGGAGATGTTCTCTTTATCTCCCAGGCTCTTCATCTCAACATGCTAAAATTGATCTCTTCACTTTTCCCCACTTCCATGACCTTCTCCTTTTCAAGAGTTCCCTAAACTTAATTGAGGGGACTATACCCTCCTAGCCTCCCAGACTCTGCCTTCTCCTTTACTCACTATAACCATGATCACTAACTGGGCCTTGTTATTTCTATCTTTTAAATTCATCATTTCTTTTCTACTACCTCTGCCATCACCTTAATTCAGGCTCTCAGCTCTTGTTGCAATACTTAAAATACCTTTCAACTGGATTTCTAGCATTTCATCTACTCTCTCCAATCCACCTCACATGGCCGCTGGAGTGATATTTGGTAAAATATAAGCATGATTACAACTTTCCCTTATTTAAAATCTTTCACTAGCTCTCCTCTAGAACAAAGCCCAGGCCTGAAGCGGGGCATGTAAGACCTTTTTTCTTATGCTGCACTCAGCTCCCAGCTTCTCTTCACCTTGGATTTCACATTCCAGCCGATCCAATCACTTCTAGTTCCCTAGACACACTATGTTGTTTCATTCCTCTGTAACTTTGCACTGGCAGTGAGCTCTCCATAGAATATTATTCCTCCATCCCCTTTTAATGCTTAGAAAACACTCAGGTTTGACCCAGCAATCCCATTACCAGGTATATACCCAAAGGAATACAAATTATTCTACTACAAAAACACATGTACGCATATGTTTATTGCAGTGCTATTTACAATAGCAAAGTCATGGACAACCCAAATGCCCATCAATGATAGACTGGATAGAGAAAATGTGGTGCATATACACCATGGAATACTATGCAGCTATAAAAAGAAATGAGATTATGTCCTTTGTAGGGACATAGATGAAGCTGGAAGCCATCATCCTCAGCAAACTAACACAGAAACAGAAAACCAAACACCGCATGTTCTCACCCATAAGTGGGAGGTGAACATTGAAAACACACGGACACAGGGAGGGGAACAACATACACCAGCGTCTGTTGGTGGGTGGGGGCTAAGGGGAGGGAACTTAAGAAGATGGGTCAATAGGTGCAGCAAACTACCATGGCACACATATACCTGTGTAACAAAACTGCACGTTCTGCACATGTATCCTGGAACTTAAAGTAAAATTTTAAAAAAGAAAGAAAAAATATATATATAGCCTGAAAACGAAAACACTCAGGTGTCCATCAATATTCAACTTAGTCATCATTCTTCTCAAAGGATTTCCATCACCATGTTACTGTATTTCTGTGACAGTGTTGACCCCTTCCCACTTTCAAAACTTGAGCATACTTTGATTATTAGACTTAATATAGTAAAGGCAGATTTATTGATTTTTATGTCAGTGTCTCTTTCCAGAGAAACGGAAAGAGAAATTACTGTATATGAGGCAAGCACAGTGCCTCATACACACAGTAAATAACATACAGTAGAAAACAAATGTTTGCAAAATTAAATTGAACTAAACACAAAACACATGATTTATTCATTGATGTCTTTCTTGACAACTCCCTCTTACATGCTGAATCTAATTCTTACCAAAGCCAATCAATTCTCTTTTCAAAATATCTCTAGAATCCACTCTCACCACCTCCAGTTTCTACTTTGTTGGTGCCACCATAATCTCTCACTCAGATGACTGTAATATCTTCTGTATTAGTCTGTTCTCACATTGCTTTAAAGAAATGCCTGAGACTG